CTTTGAACATTTTCACAGCACACCTAAAATCCTCTCACTGCATGCCACAGCATATAGGTTGAAAATCACTGAACTAGCCCCCAGCAACTACTAATCTGATTTCTTTCTCTAGTTTTGTCTCTTTTTTTTTTTTTGCAGTTTTTGGCCGGGACTGGGTTTGAACCCACCACCTCTGATATATAGGGCCGGCACCTTATTCCTTTGAGCCACAGGCATGAACTTTTGTCTTTTGTCTTTTTCAAGAACTCCCATTCCTTTTGCAATCCCCTTTGCTTGATTTTTTAATGGGCACCTCTGCATCTCTGTGTGTGTGTGAAGAACTCCAGTGCCAACCCACCTTTCCCTCTATTGTTATACTCTTTTGTTATTTCTGTTGCTAACATTTATTGGCAGCCATTATGTACCAGGCTCTTTATACATATTATTTAGTTTTAATCTCACAATAGCCCTATGATATATGTACACCATTATTCTCTCCATTATACACATTTGGAAACTGAGGATCAGAGAGGTTAAGTGACTTACCTAAGGCTTCACAGCTCAAACCCAACTCCTTTTGACCACGCATCAGTAAGCAATAAAAGGCAGGAGATGGTAACTAGGAAGAAGTCACACCAAGAGAGGCCGGGGGCTGTGACAACTTGGGGCCATGTGGTTTTAAAAAATGTTTGCAAACATGTGTGAAGCTGGAGAACCATCTGGGACTCCTGACTTATCAACCTCAGCCCCTACCTTTCTGCCTTCCTCCATCTGCCACATATGGTCCTGCTGTCCCAGGTAGCACTTCCCTGCTGTTTTCAGGTGCCTGAGATGATTTTAATCCCCTTTACAAATTTAGCAAAACCACTGTCTGTATCACAGTTCTGTCTCAGCACACATCTGAGACCCAGGAAAGGGGCTGCACTTCCTTCTGGATTCTACCCAACTTCAATTCCCTGATGTGCTTTCCGACCTCATTTTTCTCCCTCAGTGCTTGCAAACCAGCTAAAAAGTTTCTAGGACAAAGCCACCTGGTCTATGTGCTGACGGTGGCAGGTGTGTTCCCGCTGATAAGGGGCAAGTAAGACCGAAATGTGTGCAATCTGCACGATACTTAACAATGTAGGGACAAAGTCCAGCCTTGCAAAACCCAGGGTGGTGACATTCATTCTGGGGAGTAGAGTGCAAAGCAGGAGAAAAGGAAAAATAGAAAAGTTAACGCAAAATCGATGATGCTGGGAAATGGACAAGGTTCTTGCCCTATGTGTGCATTTCCTTGCTATTTGGAGAAGTGAAGTTGTCTCCTAGAGTCAACTCATAGCTCTTTAAGGGTCCTGGGAGTGAGCTGCACAGCCAGCACATGCTGGGAAGAATCGCATGTCTGAATCACAGCCACGGTTCATTTGGAGGGGAGTAAAACAGCCAGAAATGAAGGTACCAAGGACCTGGGTGGCACATGATTAACAAGGGAGTGAAAGGGGGGGGGCATGCCATTTAGAGTAGAAAGTGTTAAGTCACTTCAATAACAATCACAGCTAACACTTATTGAACACTTAATACGTTCCAGTCTCTGTGCTGAGAGTTAAGTGACATGAATCATCCTGTGTGTTTCTCACGGCCACCTTCTGAGGGAGGCGCTGCTCTCATCTCCAATTTATAGATCAGGAACTTTACGTACCCAAAGTACACAACTGTTGAGGGGCAGAATCAGGATTTGAATTTTGATATTTCTCTAACCTAAGGCAGCAAATGTCTAACTTCTCTGCTTTACTCCATCCTAATTCAGAGATATCATTGAAGTTAGGCAGATCAGCTATTCAGGCACTCAGAACCCTTTAGAAGGCTTGCAGAATTGCTTTGGTTTCACTATATTATAAGAAGGAATGAGAACTAGTGGGCTTTGCATGACCAGGGGCCTGCCAGGATTCTGGTGATCTTGCCTGTTGGTTTGAAATAATTGCATGCTGTGGAAACCTACAGTCGTTTCTCAAGTTTTCTTTTTACACAATCGGCTTGGGAGGGTTTTAGACATGTTGGCACAATGGGCTATTTTTTCTCTGTATTGGGGTGGCACCATGAGGTGTGACGATTGGTTCCACCCTAGCATACTGGCTGGCACAAGATGCATCAGGCTTCTTTAAGCTAACAAAAGATCTCGATGAGCTCGTTTTTTAAGATGAACCTAGGTGAGCAGAGTAGACTTTGGAAAAGCTCCTAGAGAGGAAGTTAAGTGAACTCTTTCAGAAGGCCGGGTTATCAGCGAGTCCTCTGAAAGAGGTATTTTACAAAATGGTACCCTGTGACAACAGGTTATTTATGCCCTCTTAGGAAAGTACTTTATACTTAGTATTATCCTGGCCTGAACTCAGCACAGCATCGAGTTCAATAATAATACCTATTCCACTCTCCTGCAAGGGTTGTAACTCCAGCATGTCTCATGCATGGCAGGGCACAATAAACAGTCAATAATAATGTTCACGTAATAACGATCTTCCAAATGTCTTTCATCTAAAGCTCTCAAAGTGCTTGACAAACACTAATTAGTTAAGCCTCACAAGGGCTCTCTGTTTTTACAATACATCTTCCCATTTTACAGAATTTTAAATTGAGACCCAACAAACTTAAGTGGCTTGCTCAAAGTCATACAGCAAGTTTAAATTAATGATAATGAAGCTGCTTTGCATTTACATAGCAGATCTTTTCAACAGTGATACTAGTATGTTGCAATGATTACGTTCACACTATCCTGGAAGAAAGTGGGTAGTAAGTATTATTTCAAGTATTTCATTTGATTGTCTAAACTGAAGCAGAGAGGGAGGACTGAGTGAGGGTGAAGTTGTCTCCTCTGACTCTCAGAACAGCGTGTGGCATCCAGACAATCCCCAATTCTCTTAACCAAAGAGTGCTTGGTCACTTCCACGCTTACAGAAAATATACCTATATTCGGGGGAGTAGAGACAGGTTGGAGATGTCAGCTGTATCTGTATCCAGCAATAGGTCTGAGAGGAACCACTGTAAGAGGAATCACTCAGGAAATGAGGGAAACTGGGGTCGGGGGTGAGGTAGTGGCTGCCAGCCCTGCTCTCTCACAGAGCACCCAGGTCTTTCCTGAAATCAGGAGCCCTTAAAGGCTCTGGGTTTCAGCCTCCTTGTAGGACTCGGTCCAGTGTAGCTCAGAGGACGGGTACAGGCACATCACTGACAGCACACTCGGCTGTAACATGTCTCTGTGAAAGAGTTCCAGGGGCACCCAGCATCCTGGTGACTGTCTCTGACCTATAACTAACTCCCATCCCAATTCCTTGTGGTAGAAGGACCCTGGGACTCCTCTGTGGTTCAAAAACTTCGCAGCTGTGGATGCTTTTGTTGGACCCTGGGACTTCTCTGTGGTTCAAAAACTTCGCAGCTGTGGATGCTTTTGTTGCTACCTTTTCTTAGCAACACAGCCACATGGAAAAAGATGAAGACCTGCACAAAAACGTTTGACGCTGACAAGGGACTTGCCTCCTCCCAGGCCCCCAGCATTTCCTTAGTGAGTGATGATACTCTGCAAGTAGGGGAGGGAGAGGCGGGAGTGGAGGGTGGAGGGCTTCTTAGGAATTCAAGGTGGGTCTGCTGACCCAGAGATAGAGCCCTCTTCTCTGTAAACAAGGCATGTTTGAGAAAAATGTCCTTCCCCACCCCCACCCAGCCAGCGTTTCCAGGCCTGTGGAATTCTGATTGATGACTAGACCAGGGCTTATGGAAAGACTAGGAGGGGAGGCCCAAGCCCTCTTCTGGAATGTGTTCACACACACAAGCATGGTGGCAATGAAGAGTCTGCAGGGACGCAATGTCAGTGTCCTGCTTCTTCCCGCTCTCATTTTCAAATGTTTACACATATATCCCTACCACATGGGGGGCTGAAAGGTGCCCCGAACTCAGGAAGGGCTGAGCTCTTGGAAAAATTTCAAAAAGTTGTCCCAAAGGCATATCACAAGTCTCTTCTGAGTGGGGCAGGAGTCTGTGCAAGACCCTCCTACACACTCTTCAGAGCAAGGAGCTGTGGGTCCTGCGACCTGTGTTAAAACCTGCCTTAGGTAAGACGTCAAAGAATGCAGCTTGGCTTTGCTAAGTATGCCAGTGACCCAAGCCACAGCTTTCTGTGTCCACTTTGGCACACTGACTGCAGGGGTGACAGTGCAAATAATTATGCTGGACTCACACATGTGCCCTCACACAGCCTCCTGCCACGGGGCTCTCTGCCACATCAGATAAAGTCCTGGGGTGTACCTGCAGGGCTGGACTGGGGGATTCCAGTTCTCCAGACAGGAAGAGCATTACTGGGTGATCTGGGCAGTTCACCTGGGTCTGTTTGGTTTTCTGTTTGCAGCCTGAGCTGTGCATGTGTTTTATTCATTTTGCAAAGTGAGACCTATCTCTGGTGCCCCTCTACTTATCTGCTGTGCTTCACAGCCCAGCCTTTGCTATCAATCAGTCCGCCCACAAGGACGCTTCCCTCTGGCACTATCTTGGGCCTCAAGTTAACTTGATAGCTTTGAATAGATTATGAATGGGCATTGTCATAAAAGCGCTTTATGACTAGGGGTGGGAAGATGGATTTGGGTAAAATTCATGCGAAACCTGACATTTGGAAGCTTCTCAGAGCTCTCACCAGCAGCAAGCGTTTGGATTTGTTTTCTCCCCCCCTCCCCCCTTCACGCATTTCCCACACGCTGGCTTGTCCTCAGAACAGTAGAAGTGGAAGACCAAAAATACAATCTAAAAGGCTTTCCTCGTGCTCTTACCTTCTGGACAAGAAGGAGAGCCTGAGGAAGTTGGACTAGTTCAAAGGCGAATTCTTAGATGAATTAGATAGGCTTAGGATTCCCCATGTTTCAGTGACATGATCGCTGCCTACGGAAACTTATCACTGGGGAATACGGCGCGCTCCGAAACTAGAAGAAAACAATCCCTAGCTCCCAGGACACGCAAATCCAACCTCCAAGTGACATGATATTAACAAGGAAGATCTTTCTTACCCCGTCTGTGTGGATTCGGATGTTGGGGACCAGCCGGAAAGAGCTGGCCTGCAGACCTCTGGGGTTGGCCCTGCCTTTCCTGCCGTCCGGCAAGGTCAGCACGCCGGGCCTGCGGAAGGAACCCCCTCTCCCGGGGCTCTTGCCCGCGCGCACACCGTCCAGAAGTCGCACGAGCAGCAGGTTGGCCGGCAGCGACTCGATGCTGCAGAACACCAGGGTCCTGCATTCCGGGCACCTCAGCTCCTTGTGGGCCTTGAAAACCTTCTGCAGGCAGGGTTTGCAGAAGGTATGCTGGCAGGGGAGGACTTTGGCTGTGACATCGAGCTTTTCCAAGCACACAGGGCACTCCAGAAAATCAAGTAATGTCAAATCATCCATTTTACTTCAAAACTCCAGTCCCGACCTGGAGGAGCAGGGTCCACATCGCAGGGTCAGCTGAGCCAAGGGAGTAGAGCCGATCTCTTGAGAGCTCCAGAATTCTGCTGGCTTGAAGGAGAGAGGAAAGGAAGGAGGGAAAATGTGACTGCTCCGCGAGGTATATCCCACCTACATCGAGGCGGTGTCTCATCAGGCAGTTTGCAAGTACTTTGTTCCGGCACCCAAGTTTCAAATGACTCATTCTGATTCAGTGCTAGCAGGTATAAGACTCAGCCGTGCCTGTGCAGGGATCAGAGGGAGCGTTCCACCGGCTGCCTGCTCACTGCCTGGGCGGAAGGGAGAGCAGGGACACAAACCCAGCCAGTGGAGGTGGCCACACTCTCATCTCCCCACCGGGTGGAAGGGTCCTTTACCCTGCCTGGGCAAAGCCTCTGACAGCCTCAGCTCCCACCCCCTCAGGATGCAGTCGGGCTTCTGCTCTTCCTTTTCTCCCCCAGATTTAAACGTACCTCTTACCTGCATCACACACAGATCAGCTTAGGTAAATAAGTTGATCTGAATCCTACGCAGATGTAGAATTACTCCCTTCACAATATATCTTCCGTCACCATTCTGTTCTAGCAATGCCTAAGAAACATTTCTACTAGAAACCCATTTTCAGAAATTGTTTTACCTTAGTTACAGGACAGAGTCCTCGGAGGCCCCTTCATCTCTTTCTTCCCTCTCTTCTCTCCTCTCTCCCTCTCTTTTTCTTCTCGTTTGCCTCCTCACTCTGATTACCTTAGCCTCGGAGACAGTATTCCTCCCACAAGATAAAGTCGTGCAGCCTGTTTAGTTACTTTGACAATTGTTTTCAGTTTCAAGCGAGGCAGATAGGAATTCTGCACTGTGGTCACAACCTGTACCAACCAAGATAGGGCAGCATAGAAGTAGGGGCGTGTGTGTGTGGAGGGGTGTCTAAAAACACCCTTTGTTCCAAAGCACAGGTCTCCTTTTGGATGTATGAACATAAGTCTCCAGTTTAGCAAAGTCTCCTGAGAAGAAGTCAGCTGTGCCTCACAAGTGCCAAGGCTCAAGCGAATGCCACCGCAGCCCAAGAGGTTTGGCAGGAGGGTGAGTGGCCCGACTAGTAATCAGTAGGCAGAGCAAACATGAGGCGGGAGGATGGGAGATGGCGCCTGTCTCCCCAGGACTCCTGTCCACATACAGCAGCAAGGCAGGCAGGAAGGTGCGTGAAGGTGCGGGGCCACTAACCTGGGGCTGGAAACCTCTGTTGAGTTGGCTCAGCCCCCTCCTCCACTCGGCAGGGCAGGGCAGGCTGCTCCCTCCAACCGGCTTCCTTTCCTCCAAGAGCTGCTGCTGCTGGGGCTTTGAAAACTTTAACAACTCGTCTTACTCATTTCAAGGGATCACCTTACCCAGCCCTGTTAACACTTTCATCGCCAGGTTGCTAAAAAAATAAAGCAACACACTTTTTTTTTTTTTTTAGTTGACTCTTTATTACCCATCCTTCCTTTAGGAAACCGAAGAGATTTCTTGGAAAAGATTGTAAGAGGCAAAGTAGGAGTCAGCCAAGTATTTACAAAGTTTACATTTTCACTTTCCCCATTTTCTATTCTATTTAGGGCGTTGAAACCTACATTATAAACATACCAAAGGGATTGTAATCTTTAAACCTTTGTAAAGATTTCCTGGGGAGGTCTAACATATTCATGAAGTTATGACAACAAGGACAAGAAAACCACTCAGAAAATATCGCTCCTTAAAAACCATAGTCATTTAGAGCTGACTGGGCCTTTGGTGGCCTTTTTGCTCAATTTGTTTACATTATCAAAATAGTGTGTACGTACACATGTTTGAAAAATCAAACACAGAAGGATTTTTTTTTTAAAGAAAAAGCAATGGTCTCCAGCTTTCCTATAGTTTTTTCATATCCCCTAAATAAAGACTATGCTTCTGTTTTTTTAAAAATTTACTTATAACAACACATTTCATGTAAAATCACAGATATCCAATTGAGTAAATAAATAAGAATTATCTTACCTGACATCCTTGTCTGTGCCAAGCACCGTTCTCTGCACTTTACCTAAATTAACCCGTTTATCCTTCTTAATGACCCGGGGATACATCACACTCTACCTTCACTTTACAGAAGAGGGAAACTTGAGAACACAGAAGGTCGATAACTCATCCCAGGAGGCCCAGTGGGCAGAAGGCAGGTGGTCTGTACTCTTAGCTACCATAGCCTCATCTAGGATGGCAGGAAGTCAAGAGATAATGAACAAGATGACCACTCAATGAAGCAGCTGAGTCTGGAAAGACCAAGAGATTCTTTGAAGTTGCCCAGTGAGTTAGGGGCAGAACTGTGACTAGAACTCTCTCAACACAGGGATGACACTTCTTTATTGTGCAGAAAGATAAAGCTATATGCAAACATTTTAAGAGGGGACCAAGGGACTCGAAAGCATTGTGGTAGTTTATGTGTTTTTCAAAGTTCTTCTGTGTCAGCTCTGCAGAATCAAACGTGCACGAAGCTTGAAACAAGGGAGAACTTTAGAATAAAAGAGATAAAATTATCTATTTCCTGAGCTGTGAGGCCTAAGATTTGGCTGCATGTAGATTTCAGAGACCACTTTCAATTCATTTTCAATATTTCCCTTCTGAGCTTCAACGTCTCATCCCATTCTGCTTGCCTGTCTCCTCCAATAAAATCCCACCCTTGATTCTGTGGCCCGAAGGAAAACCCTTGCAGTTTGCGGTCCTTCACTGTCCCCTTATTCTGCTTTTCACTTGGTAAAGATGACTCAGTCTCTTCTACCCTCTGCAGTCCCCTCACGTCCTAGAAGGGGTCACTTCAATGCTGGAGCATCTGCTGTATTGTTTGTAACATTCGTCCTCCCTCCCTGTCTTGTTCTGAAACACACTCTATCTGCCTTATATCCCCACAGCTGCACCTATGTGTACGTACCTACATAGACATGCATAAGGACACACACATACATATTATTAATATAGTAACATTTAACAAGAGCACTTCCTGTATGCCACTGCTAAGCTTTAAACAGATTACCGCGTTGAATTCTCCCAAACACCCCGTAAGGTATTGTCACCTTCTCAGGGCTCTGAAGCTTGTGATTTGAGCCCAGGTTGGTTTGAACATAGGGCCTGTGTTCTTTACTATGATTTCTTTTCATGTCATAAAGTCATATACATGCTGTAAGTACATTTGTCTGTTTTTATTGTGTAAATCCACATGTTTATACATAATCCATATTGTACGTACCAGCTGATCCCAAGGCTAACCCAACACAAAATAACAACGGCACAAAAGGAGATTGGCTCCTCTGGCTCTCGCTGTTTGTAGTCGATCCATTCTCAGGTCCTCTCCACTCCCCTGTGGGCTCAGTGGTCTCAAAAAAGCTTTAAGCCCTCCTATCTCTAAGAAAATGCAGTCACACCAGCTCATTCCCACAAGGTAGGATACATCCAGAAGGTTATTCTTTCCTAGTGTGTTGGCAACCGAAAATTCAGTCAAATAAAACCGTGATGATAGAATTTTAGGCACTAGCGGAGGATAGAGAAAGTTTACACTGAATGGGAGGAGTAGCCTTTTAGCATCTGTCAAACCCCACCCTGTAGGTGGGCCCAACACCATCCACGGATGAGGTTAATCTTGAGGAGAAAATTTCTTTTGCAACTTTAAAGAAGAGGGAGAATTGTAAACGGGGATTTCATCTTGACTCACCCAAATGCTACCTCAGCATCAAATCAGGTGAACGTGTAGTCTTTTAAAAACAAACTAAAATGTGGGTTGGGGTGGGTGGGGGAGGTGAACTACCCAGGCCTTCCCAGATCCCAGGCCACCCCATCCCTTCAGCCCCACTGCTGGCTGCACTCGCACCTCTCCAGATCCCAGGCCACCCCAACCCATCCGCCCCACTGAGGGCTGCGCTTTTTTAAAATAACCTGTGTGACATTTATGTGTTCTGCTCCTCGCATTTCCAAGGACATTTCAATTTATGCCAAAAATAAAAATAAAGTCTGATAATCTGATTTTATTGTTCCCCTATTCAAAAACCCCTCAAGAGGTTCCCCTTGACCTTAGGATAAAAGCAAATTCTTCTTCTTCTCACCACCCAGGACCTGTGTCATCTTGTGATCCCACCTCTCCTGCTGGGACTTGCACCCAGGCGTCCCCCTCACTCAGCACACTCCAGACCCACTGGCTTTCTCCTTACTCGGAGGACAGTTTAAGTTTTCCTGCTGTTCTTTCTTCCCCTTCTCTCTTCCTGGTTACTCACTTCCTTCCCACTTTGCCTCTTTTTCCTCCTCCTCTGCAAATTTGAGCTTTTTAAAATGCCACTTCCTCTGGGAAGTCTTCCTTGATTTTCACTAGTAGAAAGTGCATCATCTTACATTCCTCCTTTGTAACAACTACGACAATCATAATACTGTAATTATTTTAAAATGACCTATTTGATACCTGCCTTCCCTATAGCTGCCACAGACTATAAATGTCTGTGGAATGGGTTTAGGAATGAATGAATGATGTTCTCGAGAATTAGTGTTTGGCAGATGCACACTGAACAGTTGATAATGGGTTTATATTGGACACCTCTTGGGTGCTGCTGTGAATGTTCGCAGCACCACTTCTTACGTAAGTGGAGTTTTCCAGATTGGGCTGGGTGTTCCCTAAGCTATATCTCTCCTCAAGGCCCTGCTGTGTATTTCTTGCTGCCTGTCCCAGAATTTCTCTGATGCTGTACCATGGGGCATCCATGGGAACTTGCTCCACACTCACCCATGGAAGGGTGGATCTTCTTTGACCAGTGGGCAGTCTGTGGATAAATGCTTCCTCCTTTCATCCCCAGGGGCTGGTGGTCCTGAGATTTCATAAGGCTCTTTCATAAGGTCCCATGGGATGAGCATCACTCGTCCGCTGGGTGACTAATACAACATCTCTTAGTATTAGCTTTCTCTTTCCCTATTTCTTTCTTCTT